TCCTACGTCGGAATGGAATGTGACTTAGTAGGCCGCCTTACCTGATGGCGGGCGTGGCATACTAAGATTTCCGTGTAAAACAAAGCATACCTTCTGTTAGGGAGCTAACAGACACCTATGCGAAAAGTAAGCTGTTCTAGGATGTAAATTAAAATTCCACCATCTTTCCTTTTATCCTGACATGAAACACCGAAAAGTCTGTTTGATCAAGATTTGGCCATACTTATTTTACGATAAACTTGACTTTTCTTCCCTGTTTTCCCACAGGTTCATGCATGAACTTAAGGCTTGCAAGCGCCCCAATAAAGCCTACATAGGCGAGTCATAAGAAGGCGCAAAAATTTAATTAGTCGTGAGAGATAACGTGGAAATGATACGTCAATGATAAACGGTCCAGTGAAGATTTAATGATTCGACCGGTACAGTCCACCGTAAACAAAAATAAACTTCGGTTGAGTTTGTGGGACTCCGCTGTTGACACCGCATCCACCGGCGTATTAATCTCCGTTAAATACGCAAGATAGTAATGTGGGTGAATGAATAGCTTTTCTTTTTTTTGAAATGCGGTTTTTAGTTCGGAACACATAAATACGGTTAGACAGAACTCCGTTCCATTGGACTTGTATCCTTGGAGCGTTTTTTGTTGAAGAAGCCAAAAAAATAGGACTTTAACTTTGCAATTCTGGGACTTGTGGGCGTTGGGCCAGAGGAGAGTTGTTGAGGTTTCTCTCTCGGGGACTTAGGATTGAAGCTGTCCGCGGAGTGGTAGTCAGCACTGATGGGTTGACAAGGAGGGAGAAGGGTTGTGGGCCGGACCAACTTGCAGTCGAGTGCATAGTTGAGTTTGCGGGATCTTAAGGAACTACAAAACCATGCATTTTCGTTACAAGACATGCACTTATCAAGGACGCAGATAAGGTAAAATAAAACTCAAAATTATTAAATAAGTAAATTAATGCAAATTAGCGCGTTCAAAATGAGTATAGCATTTGGCATAAAATAAAATTTATAAGCTCATGCAATATGTATGATGGCCAAAGGATGGGCATTGAATGCTCGCGTTAAGAGACAATCCCGGAGCCCTCTGTACCGGTTTTTAAATTTACGTATCTTTCACGTACCCACAAGGTTAGCTGCAATGATACGGGAGGGAAGACCGACAACGTCAAGCGAGATAGGAATGCTCTTTTGGGCTTATAAGTCCCCCCCCCTACCAAATACACCCAACTCCAGGTTTGCAGTGTTGTAAATGTTGCCAACAGCTGACATATCACCGTCTATTTACGTCTTCTATGAGTCCCAAAGGAAGACCACAACAAAAAGAGCGCAAAAGTAGAAGTCCTTTAGCGAACTTAGTACAACAAATTTAAGAGAAGCAACCGCGTGTACAGCCATGCCCATCGGAACAATCAAATAATGTCCTCGGGCGAGTGTCGATTTGATTGGCTTGTGACTCATCCGGCTGGCTTGTCATAGTCCTAAGCCTGACTGCAGCTTTGCGTGGCATCGCTACGTGCACTGCATGTAGGCAGATCGATAACCTGGGGTGAGCTTGACTCGCTATGGCTGCCAGTGCGCGTGTCAGTTAGGGCGGCTCCTAACATGCAGGACTTGTGATTTAATTCTGAATTTACCGCTCTACCGGTAACTCATGGATGCGTTTTCCTGCCGGTTTTCAATCATAGATAATAAATATTCCCGTCCAAAACTGAGAGAACCCCAGACTATATACTGCCTGATGACTAACGGACGTAGGTTGGGGGCTAAAAAGGTTAGAGTAAGGCCGGCCGATGATGGCAAATAAACCAGCAGTGGCCTTCACATTCTCCCGTGTGTTTGTCGGCAGTTCTTGCTATCTGCCTATGCATGTATGAAACTCGTGGAGCTATTAACACTCCAGACGCAGGGGGTTGTTTCATAGTCCCTAGGGACTTTCATGAGCCCTGTAAGGTGAGGTTATTAACTTTTCAATTAGGCGCATGATCATCAACTGTTGTTAATTGTGCTTGATCCCGTGCTGTCGGCCCGCTCGCCAGCAGCAATGCTGACAGTAATGAACGTTGCGCAAGATTGCAAACGCAGTAAGTTAAGGCC